AGTATTGTATTGGCTATTCTAGGTCATTTTCTTTCCACAGACTTTAGCATCAGTTTGTTATAACCATGACATAACTATCTGCAGTAGGTTTGCTTTTTGCTCTTTTGTTTTTTGTGTTTGTTGAGGATCAAATTGAGGGGCTTTAACATGCTAGGCAAGTGTTTTATCACTGAGCTACAGCCCCAGCCCTATAAGTTTCCTTTTCAAACTAAGAATTTTGTATTTGCCTTTTATATTCAGAGACTTTTTTTTACTTTTGTTCTTGCTCTAAAGCCATTTACCTTATACCTTTTCTTTTATAGGTGTCATCGAGATTCATATTAGTCAATACAATTAGTAATTATTGTAATAAGCAATTGTATGGTAACTTATTATATTTCTGTGTTGTATAAATTGATGCATAAACATTTGCATGTAATATGTATGTACATATAGAAGTCTTGTGACTACTGTGTAGGGATTTTTCTCCCTTAAAACCTTTTCTTGGGAGAGAGGGAGCAAGAGGCAGCTTTCATAGACTCTGCCAAGGTCATATCAACCTGTGAGATTCCAAAACACCCAACTTGTTGAGAATCTCATGCATTTTGAAGGATGATACTATTTGGAAGGTTGTACATAATAATATAGTAGGGACAGAAATGAGGGGGCTGAAATCCATTACAATAATGACCCCAAGCATATCATTTTAAGGATTAAGTCACTTCTTACTTGTCTCTTCTTCTTGACCAAATTTAAATTTATTTTGTAAGAACACAGAAGTTCTTTGAACATGAGATAATAATAAATGTCAAATAAGCACAATGCTATAGCAAGAGTAAGCCATCTAGAAATATTAATATTTAACTTTTAGTTACACTTGATATAAGACAAATAATAGAAATGTTGGAATTTTAAATATTCAGGGCTTGCTTTATTCCTATTATTGGCAGTTAGAGCTTAGTAGATTTATATCCCAAGAAGCTTGAATATGATATTAGGTTTTTACTATTTGTAATTCAAAGCCTGAATTGTGTTCTAAAGAATTATATTTTCATATTTATGTCTTATTCCCTTATAAGCTGACAAAAGTTTCAGTATTTTATAATAGCATGCAGAGAAATTCTACTACTTAACATTATAAATATTTAATTCAAGCAGTCAAGTGTCATCAAGTTAATATTGTTGTGTGAAAACTTGCTTTCTTCTTCCTGCTTAGAGTGGGCATCTTCAATATTAGCAGAATGTGAAAAAAATCCACATATATTTTCCAAGATGAGTAGCATGAAAGGGAAGATAATCTAATTCCTATTTGGTTTTAGAATATTTTTTTAATTTATATATAACAGTGGAATGCATTATAATATATAGAGAGCTCAATTTTTCATATCTCTGGTTGTATACTTAGTATACTCACACCAATTCGTGTCCTCATACATGTACTTTGGATAATGATGACCATCACATTCCACCATCGTTTCTAATCCCATGGCCCCTCCCTTCCCCTCCCATCCCTCTGCCCTATCTAGAGTTCGTCTATTCCTCCCATGCTCTCCCTCCCTATCCCACTATGAATCAGTTTCCTTATATCAAAGAAAACATTTGGCATTTGGTTTTTTGGGATTGGCTAACTTCACTTAGTATTATCTTCTCTAACTCCATCCATTTACCTGCAAATGCTATGATTTTATTCTCTTTTATTGCTGAGTAATATTCCATTTTGGGTATATATATATGCCACATTTTTTAATCCACTCATCTATTGAAGGGCATCTAGGTTGGCTCCACAGTTTAGCTATTGTGAATTGTGCTGCTATAAAAATTGATGCGGCTGTGTCCCTGTAATATGCTGTTTTTAAGTCCTTTGGGTATATAGATGGAGGAGAGGGATAGCAGGGTCAAAGGTGGTTCCATTCCCAATTTTCTAAGAAATCTCCATACTGCTTTCCATATTGGCTGCACCAATTTGCAGTCCCACCAGCGGTGTATGAGTGAACCTTTTCCTCTACATCCTCGCCAACACTTATTGTTATTTGTATGCATAATAGCTGCCATTCTGACTGGAGTGAAATGAAATCTTAGAGTAGTTTTGATTTGCATTTCTCTAATTGCTAGTGATGATGAACATTTTTTCATATGTTTGTTGATTGATTGTACATCATCTTCTGAGAAGTGTCTGTTCGAGTCCTTGGCCCATTTATTGATTTTTTTATTATTATTTTTTATTTATTATTATTTGTTTTTTTGGTGTCTAGCTTTTTGAGTTGTTTATATACCCCAGTGATTAGTGCTCTATCTGATGTGTGAGGGGTAAAGATTTGCTTGGTTTTAGAATATTAGTGAGCTTAAATGCTTTGTATTTTTTGACCTCCAATATTATTATTCTATTTATTTGAGTTTGATTTTTGCTTCTAACTTTTATCCTGTTTTTAGTTGGGGGTGGGCATTGGTCTTTTTCTCATTGATTTCATTAGTTTTGTGGTTGGAGGTAAAAGTGGTTAACTGTGATTTATTATAGGCTGCAAATAGGCTTTCCTGCCTTCTAATTTTATTTTGGTTTTGTATGCATACTCTTATAGTCTTTTTGCAGTTAACACTGTACTTTGAACACTTTCCCATGCTCGTCAATATATTTCTTTTTAATAATATCACTTCAGATGTTTGTATAGCATTCTGTTAATTAGGTTATAAAAATGATTTATAGTCCCATGTGCCTGAGATAAGATTGTCTTATGGCCTGAAATTTCAATCAATAAATATGTTCACTGTAACTTTCTTATAATAATAAATATAACAAACAAACATTTATTAAACACCCACTAAGAAATATAATTGAATTAAATTACTTTATCTTATTTGATTAACACATTTGTTTTTAATAAAATTTTGAGTTTTCAAATTTGAAATGTTTTTATCTGGGAAAGTAACACAAAGTTTTTCTGAAACTTCTGGTTCTGTTGGCAAATTTCTAAAGTATCCAGTTATAATACCTAGTAACATTTGCTTATGTGTAATTTTTAAGGAAGTAAAAAAGGGGGGGTTGGGATGTCATTTTTAATATTCTTAATGACCCAAACTAATTTTTAAAAAAATTTTAAGAGCTTTATTTCACAATGACATTTGTTAATAGATTCCCTCTTTGATAATACACAATGTTGGATCATGACACAGAATAAACAAACAGGTCATTGTTTGAAATAATGGTCACTGTGTTTAAAGGACTGTGAATTTTTGTTTTGCATTGTTTTTATTATACAATTTTTATTCTAGAATACAATACATAATGTATTTTGACATGTTCTGATACAAAGATATTTATTTTTAGATACAATATTAACAGTTGGCAGTAATTTTGAGATTTTGAACAGGTTTTATATTTTCACATACTATGTTTGTGCTGATTGTGTTCTGCTCCCTTTTGAAGGATGGGGTTACTTATAGGGCATACTTAAGTGGAGAAAAACCGTCACTAAAGATCAGGTTGAGGTAGAGAAGTACAAACTTATCAATTTCCATGAACACAGGTGTGTTAGGCCTAAAGGGTCATATAAGCAGAAGGAAGAAGATGGGAGGGTCAATATTATCAGGCTGGAGGAGGGAAGTGACTGGATAAATTATAGACTGGTAGGCTGCTTAGTCAGTCAAGACAAGTGAAGCTGTCACTGATGTGTACTCTTAGTCCTCCAGCCCTGGTGCCTCTTCCTGTTTGCCAAACACCAAGACAATTCCCATTTGAGTAGATGGCACCACTATCCTTTGAGCGATTCAAATAAGAATCCTGTGAGTCGTTAATTCTTTTCCCTCACCTCCATATTTAATGCACTAACATGTGACAAGTCTCCGCTCCTTTTGTTTCTGTCCTATGCCATCACCATCCTCCAGGCCAAGCCAGGATCATCTCACTTGGATTTTTGTATGGCACCCCTTGATCCTGTGTTTGCCCTCTTCAAACCATTCTCCAGAGGTGCTAGAGAGATCTTTATAGAATTCAGATCCTATCCCTCTGTATGTTAATGCTTTCCACTTTCTCATTGAATATTAACTGCATTTAAAAATAAAATTTTATATATATATATATATATATATATATAAAATATATACATAATTCTATATATTACATATAATATACCTTAATATAAAAATACATATTTTTTTGTACTGGGAATTGAACCCAGGGATGCTTAACCCCTGAGCCACATCCCCAACCCTTTTTCATTTTTTGTTATGAGATAGTGAGGCTCTAAGCAACTTAGTTAAGTCCCTAAGTCTGCTAAGAACTTAGTGAACTTGCAGTCCTCCTGCCTCAGCCTCTTGAGTCATGTGTGCCCCCACACTTGGCAAAATCCAATTTCTTTACAAAATCCTGCAGGGTCCTCTGACTTGCATCCTGACTAATGATTCTGACCTGCTCTCACAACCCCCTTCACCCAGCTTCTTCCCTTGTCTTTTTGCTTCTCAAGCAGACATGTCCAGTCTTGTACTTGTGTTCCTGGTGCTTTGGCTTGCTGCCTTTTTTCCATCTTTGGGCCTAGGTTCACTTGTAGCTTCTTCATTGAGACCTTCCATAAACATGCTTTTCAAAGTTGTCTTTCAATTCCCTAATACCATTCTTGTTTCACTTATTCATATCTGTTTTATTACTTTTGTTGTACTTGATTACTTGATTAGAATCCATCCATTCATTCAGTAACTATTTATCGTGCACCTAGTGTATGCCAGGCATTGTTGGTGGTACCTGGGCTTCATCCATGGACAAAAAGCTCAAAAGAGAATCCCTGTTTTTATTGGTACTCACATTAAAGTAAAGAGAGAAATAGTACATAGTAAACGTGATATATTACTACATTGAATATGTTAGGCAATACATTAGAAGTGGCAAGTGTGATAGAGAAAAATGGAGCATGGTAATGGAGATTGGGGATTTGGAGGGGTAAGGAGCAGGATGCATATTAAGCACTGTTGTTATGGGAGGCCTCATTGATCTGATGACTAATGTAGGATTCTTTGGTTTCTTTAACTTTTAGCTTCAGCACCAGTCAGCAAAGTGAATAAGTACTGTGCTTCTTCCAACTTTCATTCCACTTGGGGAAGAAAGAACCTCATCATGTCAAACATTACAATTGACCCGGATGTCAAGCCTGGCGAATATGTCATCAAGAGCCTCTTTGCAGAATTTGCTGTTCAAGCTGAAAAGAAAATTGAAGTTGTAATGGCTGAACCCTTGGTGAGTTGAGCTGACCTATAAATCTGAAATGTTTTCTTGACTTTTGCATTAACCATTATAATACAAAATTTCTGAAGGAAATTATATACTGGGAAAAAAAGTTTAAGTAATGGAGTGGCGATCCAGAAACCTGCAATGATTTTAGAATCCACTTTGATAAATTACCACAAGCACAAAAACAACAACAACAACAACAAAAACTTGACCAATGGGAATTATGAAGGCCAGATAAAAACATAATAGTAAATAAAGGAACTCTAGGATAGTCTACAAGTTGTCATTAAGAATGTAGCCAAAGTTATAATAAACTAGTCATTATATTTTTATGCTTATAGTACATGAGGCATAGCTAGGGACCATGATGGACTCTTAAGTGGTGACAGCCTGTGATAAGGAGGAAGGAAATACTTTGTTAAGATTCTGAACGGTTGTAAGTGCTGCCCATGATAGGTGACAAAATGGTCAGACAATAAGAAAAGCAGAGAGTGACGGCAGAGACTATTTAGCTATTGTATCCAGTTCAGATTGGAATGAAAAGGTTCGTGAACTAAGTAAGGCATAAACAGAAGTAGTTGCAGAGGAAAGGGAGAGAAATGACGAGTAGAATCAATAGAACTTGACAGGTAATCAAAGAGGACTTGAGAAGTATTTAAATAGGAGTGGCATTTTAAGTGAAAGTTAAGGGTTAAGATGCTTTGCAGTATTAAGAAAGATGGGAATGTATTTTCTTGGGTAAAGCACACAGGAATATTCTTAGGTTTGAAATCTTTCAATTTGGTGCATTGAACTTGATTCACTGGAGAGCTAACCATGTGGAATTCCTTGATTGGTGATTGGAAATTCTTCTTCAGAACACAAAAGAGATGGAGACTAGAAATTGTATATTTGGGCATAATCTGTATCAAACCCCAAAGAGCAGGTACTGATATCAAGGGAAATGGAGTATAGAATAGAAATATCATTGCCAGATATTATAGAGAGACAGAGTGTAATGAAAGAGGCAATTGGATTTGGAAGTAAAGCAGTCTGGTCACTAAGAGAACAGGCTGGGCTTGTCAGTATACCTTGGTTCAAGGCGCTTTGAAAATACAGGTGGCAGTTTAGGTTACTCTTTGGGCTTAAAGGGACGGGGAATATGGTGTGCTAGGATCACAGTGTAGGTTAGAAGAGTGTTAATGGCAATGGAGGTAAAGATGAAGGACATACCAGCTGAAACTCTTTTTTAAATATCTTTATTTATTTATTTTTTATGTGGTGCTATGGATCGAACCCAGTACCTCACAAGTACAAGGCAAGTGCTCTACTGCTGAGCTATAACCCCAGCCCTCAGCTAAAACTTGTATTCCTCACACAACTGGGTGACGGATAGACATTCACTTCCAGTATGCGGTTTGGAGGGCTTATTGCTGTCAGAGGTCCAAAGCCATTAAGTGGCCGAGTGGGAGTTAGGTGTACTAATATTGGCTGTCTGCTTCCTCAAAGGAAGGAGTAGAGGAGAGGTGGTGACCTAGGGAGAGAGGGAAGGTGAAAGAAGTGTTTTTACATGCTCTTAAAATTCTTAGTGTGGAAAGACTTAAAATTACTGACAGTGTTTCTCAGAAATTCTGCTTAATTCTGAAAATTAAGTAGAAGAAACTAATCTGAAGAAAGCATTTATGAAATAATGCATCCTGGGCTTTAATACATAATAATGGGTTAAAAAACCACCAGCCAAATGTATATTTCAAAACTGTGGACATCATTATATTCAATTTAAATCATCCCATGATTGCTTTCTACAATAATAATGATTATTTTGTATGTATTTTTGCAATATGTGCACAGTATAAAGTTCTGGTTTATAAATAAGGGTTACAAAAAAGCTTATAGACCTGAATAAATAATGATAAGTTTTAATTATATATGTGCTTAATCTACAAAATGTTAATTTTCTTTTTAATAATTTCTGAATTGTGATAAATTGCTACACTCGTCTATTTAAACAGCATACAATGAGAAAGGGAACCCCTTTTTGGGGAAAGTATATTAAAAACTTATGGGAAATTTCAGTAATACATAAAATAGAGATTTATAGTCTAAGAAGTGCTCAGCATCTATCCCCCAACTTCAGCAATTTTCAACTTGCACAGCACATTTTAAAATCACTGCCAATTTTATAAAATATTTGCTAGTAGTGCCATGTGGTGTGGTCCTAGGAGTTCTCAAATATTATATGTCCCTAAAGGAATTTTTAATTTCCAAATGTAAAGGTCTTGAGAGTGAAAGTATTAAATGGAAAATATGGCTGAGCTTACCCAATGTGACAGAGTCTATATAAATGGCAATTTAAAATCCTTCCTTTCCTTTCCGGTGCCCTGTCCTTGTCTAGATTAGGTGGCGGCTCTGCCAAGGGCATGCAGGAGCTTCTAGCTAGCCATGAAGTGTCCATCACTGTGCCATTTTCTTTTCACTCACCCGACTTTTCTTTGTCTGTGATACAAATACTACTTTCTGCTTCTGGCAACTCTGTCCCTTGTCATTCCTGTGAAGAAGGTTCTAGCATCTTTAGGTCATCCCAGGTGCTCCATTGTCTTGTCAAAGTCAGGGTGATGTCTTACGATTCTCCTATCTTTTTTTTTTTTTAATTGGTTTTTCAAAACATTACATAGTTCTTGACATATCATATTTCATACATTAGATTCAAGTGGGTTATGAACTCCCATTTTTACCCCAAATACAGATTGCAGAATCACATCAGTTACACATCCACATTTTTACATAATGCCATATTAGTAACTGTTGTATTCTACTACCTTTCCTATTGATTCTCCTATCTTGATATGCTATGATACTTAAAACATCTTCTATATATTCTTTTATGCTGGTGTGTGTTTTTATTATTTTCCCCAATCTAAATTTTTTTTTTGTAGTTGTAGATGGACAGCATATATATATATATATATATATATATAGTGCTGAGGATTGAACCCAGTGCTTCACATATGCTAGGCAACTGCTCTCTCACTGAACTACAGCCCCCAGCCCCTAAAATGTTTTTAACTCCTGAATTTTAAAATTCTACTCATCCTTCCAAACTTCCTGTTTGTTCCCTCTAACAATGTTCCTACCTCAAGCCAAATAAATGTTTTACCTATTGCATCTATACAATGTAAATATTATGCATCTGTAATTACCATGTAGCAATTTGAACTTACACTGTGTCTTTGTGTGTACATACAGATCATGACTATGAGGTATTATGGTTAATTGCTTACCTGGTGGTGTTCTAGTCAGCTTTTTTACTATTGTGACCAAAAGATCTGGCAAGAACAATTTTAGAGAAGGAAAAGTTTATTTGGTTCACAGTTTTAGAGGTCTCAGTTCATAGAAGGCTGATTTAATAACTATGGGCCCTAGATGAGGCAGAGCAGCCGAAGGGTATGGTGGAGGAAAGCAGCCCAGGACATGGCCACTAGGAAGCTCTGCTCATCAGGGACAAACTGTAAACACCAAAGGCATGTCCCCAGTGACCCACCACCTCCAGCCACATCCTATCTGCCTATAGTTACCACCCAGTTAATCCACATTAGTGGATTAAGCCATCTATTAGGTTACACCTCTTATAATCTAATCCTTTCACCTCTGAAGGGGTGTTCTTGCATTGTCTTGTGTATGAGTGTGTGGGATGCCTCATATCTAAATCATAGCACCTATCTGTCTCCTCTGATTTGAGTTGCCTGATGTCAGGAACTTGGTGTCCCTTCTTTGTGTCTATAACACTGCCCATTGTGGTAGGGACTTGGAAAAGGTGTTTGTTAAGGGCTTGTGTTATAAGTGGAATTTGGCCTTAAGTAATATTGCTCTGATTTGTGCCCCTTGTTCTTCTAATAAAACATAATGCATTATTCTAACAGTTTCTAGAAGTTCTTTCAGAATAGTGCAATGCAGATTCTATTTTATTTATTCATTAAATATCATTTCAGAGATACCAGCTATAGACTCTTAAGATGAGATTATAAGATGGTGGTGAATAGTGGTGCAGATTCCACCAGAACATTGAGGTTTCTACCCCATCATCACCCTTAGAAGAGTCATCCTTGCTTACTCTCCCTGCCGTACCAGGAAACCCCCCAAATCCTCATCCTGTCTTACAGATTTTTACCCATTACACGTATGTGTAAATTATTCCTCCTTATCTAGATCTGCTTTGTTTTCATTTATATCCAGGTGTGGGTAGGTTGGCAGTCAGAGCATCAAGGTAATGAAGATATATTTAATATATTTTGTGACAGTGTTTATATTATAGATTCAAATGCTTTTATTGTGATTTCATTTATTTTAAAATGTATCCTCTACTCTGAGTCAATAACCAACTGTGCACAGTGACTCTGAGTTCTCAAAGCAGAACAGAGTCACTTTAAAGAAAACAGCATAAGGATGCTAGCAAGCCTCGTGGTCAGTTAGGACAATAGGTTATGGAATCATTTGGAAGCACAAATGTCAATGGCTTTTGTTGAAAGAACTTAATCTGCCACTATAATGAGAATTTTTTTTTTTTTCCATTTCCCATGTTAGAAACCTTAATAAAAAAGGAGGGTAAGGAGGCCAAAAGAGTCAAGGATTATCTGAGCTTGATTTTTACTAACAATTTCATTTTCATTTTAGGAGGAACATTCAGGAAGGGCAGTCATTGATTGAAATTGCAGCTTGCACACTATGCAATCCAGTATTTTAGGTTTCTTTCTTCCTTTTTGAAAGGAGATGGATCAGTCTTGGGTAATGAGCCAGGGATAACCAAGCACACCTGTTAATCTTTTAGATTGCAAGTGACTAGAAAAGAAGATAGAAAAAAAGCTTTAACCAGTCATCGCCTGATTTGGACCTTATGTATGTGGTTTAAGCCCAGCATTTTTTTAAGCGCTATAATTTCATGACAAGGACTAGGTTCAATCCCCAGCACCAAAAAAAAAAAAAAAAAAAAAAAAAAAAAAAGTACAATTTCCATTGTTTTTTGAGAATAT